AGTCTTGATCTTCTGCTAATAGGTTTATATGTTAATGTAATTATTACTTAATTGTTATTGGTTCTAGTCTTAATTCTTTAGCTATCAATTCATATAGATTGTGATAGATATTTTCTCCTGAGTTCTTGTTCTAGACAGCGTTTATAGAATAGTTATTATGGATTAATGTCTACATCTACTGTTTAAGTCTATCTTCCTATTATCCCATTTACTTAAGTAAAAGGTCAAATTGATGATTAAGAATATTTATTAATTGAACAGCTTGATGAGTAACTTAATTCATAATTGTCCTGATATTATCATCTTAGATTGATTAAGATAACAAATTTGCTTGAGTTAAGGCTTATAGGACTTCTTGAATTGGTGTTAATTGAGCTTATTAAATTTGATCCATAAATTAAAAATTTATAAAATAATTATTATCATTTTATTGAATAAGTTAATTTATAAATATTATATTGAATAAGTTAAGTATACTTTTGACACTCTGTTGTTGGGGTTCTACAAGGGTAACCTTCACAATAATTTTAATTTCTAACTCAGATATCTTATGTTGCAAGCCAGAACATGTATTATGTATTTAAAAATAACCAAGCAATGCAATTGCTTCAAATTCTGCTATTGATACAAGGAGAATAAGTCTAACTACACAAAAACAGGGCAACATATGATAAAGAGTGGAAAATACAAAAATCCTTTATTACCTAAGTAGAGTTATGATCAGTACCAGATATTGTTAAATTGGCACTACAATAAAACGATAATTCAACTAATATCAAGTTTTAGTACTGATTTTGGTATAGAGTCGATAGGAATGCACCAAATAAATAGCTTTCTTCAACTGCTACACAGAGAATGAAAATAAGCATGTTCTTAAAAGGCAACTGATTACATTGAACACCCAATGTGTGCATTAGTAAATGGAGGTTTATGACCTTGCTATTTTAGACATGATATTAATTCAGTCTAATAAGCCATAATCTTTTTTAAGCAACACTAATTTGAGCTCATTTGATGAATTGATAATGCAGTTAAGTAAACATTCATAACTGAGCCTGCCCAAGATAGCCAGGCAAAATAATCATCGCATATATTGCATCATGATGAACCGCAATAAGTTGAACTAATCCACTGCAGCTCTTATTCAGTGAAACATTAATTTATCCAAGCAACATCTGTGAGCAATTAACATGAATTAAAAGCATCTCATTCTTTGAAGTTGATATAGAAATTTGTTTTAGTTATTAATTACAGAAGGTATATTAAGAAACAGAATTTCCTAAAAAGTTGTAATTCTTTCTTTAGTTGTGTGCCTTGTATATTGTTTTTCACACCATAAGGGGTAATGTTTATCATTCTTAATGATAGCGCCTTCTATATCAGGAGTAATACTTTGCTCATTCTTTATTGACACTTACTTCAATGGTTCTCATTATATGTGTAGTGTTTATTTGTTGCCAGCCTTTTCCTGCCGGATGACAAACTTACTTAAATTTTGATGATAAAAATGTGAGAAACCTGTGCAACTAGTAGCGCTAATTCGAATCTTTTATCGGAGGTTATTATTTTCACCCAATAAGTTTACCTTATGCAGTAAATTATTGTCTTCTGGAGAAAATATACATTTAGATTGTATCTAAATAATTAAAACTTTTGTATACTTTGGACTAAAATGAGTAATAGTGCAAATACTATTAAATCTAGTATTAAAAAATATCACAATTTAAAGATCAAATATAAATGCTTTGTGCTGCTTGTGATTATTCAATTTTCATTTATGCATTTTTGCAACTTATTTTGTCTTAAAATTATTCAACGTGTTTGTATGCATTTTACACCTCAAGATTGCATTGCTGTAGGTCATGTTTCTGCTGCATAAGACTCAAAGTTGATGAAGTGATACTTTTTTATTGTCTACATATTTGAGAGATGCTTGTTATTATTTATTATTTTATTCACTTAATTCCTACAATGGTTACCCAACATTTCTGTCTGTTATTGATTGTTTTTTTAGGCTAGGGTATTAATGCAGAATTTGTCTTACTCGGCAGAACGATCAGCTAAATTCATCAACAGAAACAAAAGTAGCTAAACCATGCACACCTAGTGATGAATGCAATACACTCAATTTATATCCAAAACTACAACTCTGACTTTACAAGTACTGCTAAGTGCTGGCTTTCATCTAAATCTTTAAGAAACCTAATTTACCTTATGAGAGTGTGCTTAAATGCTCTCAGTTAAAATTATGCGATGATAGTTAGACTGGAGCGTGTTGATAATCATCTTTTATCCCACTCTGTAGCAAACTATTGTTTAATAAGCAGTAAAACAATTCTAGTTCACCTTTATTTGAAGATGCAATGTTGACACCATTTGTAACTTTTCCACCAACACTTTTGTAATTTTTGGACATAACGTGTAAGTATTTGGGGGGTGCGGTTTGGCCAAAGGAATATTATTTCTCTTATAAACCAACTTAAAAATCTTTTGAATATAAATTCTTCATCTGTGTTTTCTAGATAGTATTGGCACAATCAAGATTGTTCATTTAAATTTGACATCTCAAATAAAGGACAGTTATTGCAAGAGCAACTTAAGTGTTTTAGTACTGAGTTGACATTGCCTGCACCTTTAGTGCAACTTTACAAATGGCCATTATTATTCTGTTTTCATAATGATTCTTGAAACTATTATTTTCTAACTTGAAAGATGATTTGATAAATCTTTATTAGCTAGTGTAAATCTTCCTAACTACCTAATAAAAGGCCTAATTGCTTAACTATGTAAAATTTTGAATTCTTGTACCTGAAAATATTGTATGGTTGGAAAATGGTTAACTTAATATAGTAAACGATGACATTTATTATTATTTTTGATGAGGATTTTATTATCATTAATTAAACTCATGTAACAATGTAAGTAATAAATGTACTATATGCTCGAAGAATTGGATTATGAAATTCTTTAGCATCAAATGTGGTGTTTTATCATAAGTTAATCGAAATTTATGATAAAAGGAGCTTCTAAAACAAAAGTTTTATGAATTAATTAATCTGAATTTCATACAAACACAGATTGTTCCCAAAATGACTTTATTTATTATGCATGACAATTCTGTCCTGCTGCGATAGAGATGGCATATACTTTATAATTTGGTAATGCCAATCCATCAATGTAATCCTTTATATAAATAGAGCTTTCAAACATCAATCTCTTAATTGCAAAATTTACTCTATAAACGTTCAAGAACATCAATATTCTGAACGGCACTTACAGAATTGATTGTAAATTGATTAACAGCTTTCCTAGAATTTATCATAAATGAACTTAAATTTTAAGCTCTTTTTATTTCACACACTGAGTAACCTTGTGTTTTGTTTTACCAATATAATAGATATTACAAATTATTCGTCATTGTTCCATAAATGTTTGTTGTATGGCAATTCAATTGTTAAATCATTTTAAGCCTTCCCTAACCAAAATCTTTTAAGAAATATATATGAGGTTTATGTCTTACAATAATTAGCTATGTTTCCTTATCTTTAATAAATGGAAATAGTAATATATCTTTATTTTCTTTTTCTTAATTTAATTTTTATAGTTAATTGAGAGTTTTCTTAGAAGCGTCCATTTTTCCTTTCAAAAACAAACAGTATATCAGCTTCCTTAGTAACTGTAACCCAAATAAAATGATTTTCAGATAAAAACAAAAGGTATCTTCCAGGATAGTGTTGTGATTGGCTTTACTAATAAGTGAATGAATTTAAACATTAGTTAATAACAAATTATTATTTAAATTTCATTTTATTATTTTATCCATTTTCCCAAACAATAATCTCAATTTTCAAAATAGAGCACGACACTAAAAATATTTCTGATTAATTCAAGTCATTGAGAGTACATAGGATTTATTTTTACTCAATTCATAAAACTAGGCTAATTCATTAGTTCTAAGTTTACTTTAATTACTATAATTTAGTTATCACTTCCACCTGAAAATAATTAGTCCTCCTTTGAATTTAACAACAAATAATAAACTTTATGTCTTTTAAAAGGATTTAAAGAGGTCCACGAATTTTTCAATAGTTTCCAAACTCTTATTGTTTCATCATCTGATCCTGAAAAAATGCCTCCTATGATTTGCTATAAACTATGCAATTAACCCAATTCTCATGCTCATTCCAATTTGGAGCATATTAATTTACCCTTATCAAATCTTCAAGTTTAAATATTGATGCATTTTGTAGATATCATTAATGAATCAGAAGAATTAAATGCTAAATTCAAACATGCCTCCTTTTGGGGAACTTATTAATACATTATCAATTCAATTTAAGAATCAAAATTTGGTACTTATTTTTCCTTCATTAATAGGTAAATAGCTTTGTAAATTACTCATGCTCATTTTTATAAACGAAATTGTGCTCTCTGAAAAGATTGCAAAAGCTTGGTTTTATAAATATAGTTGTTGGAGGCAAAAAGGGTTTTCAAATGAATTTCTTTATTTTGTTACCAATTATAATAATTCTTGAAAATTTATAGGAAAATTTATTCATAATATATAATGCTTAATTCCAAATCTCGAGATTTATTATAAGATATTCAAAAAATGTTAGAATTTATGTTCTAAATTCTGTTGTCGAATTTATTAATTCAGATAGTTTATTTTTTTGTGAATTAACTTTATTTCAACATATTTCAATTTTTCTTCACCTTTCTTAATCGTTCTTACAATTTTAGGACTTAAAGATTTATATACTTTCTTTTTTATAGCATTCGTTGCATAATAAAGATAACTGATGGTCATAAATAGCATATTCAGCTTTTCCAACCTTATTAAAACACTTGAAATCTGTCAATGCTTCTAGTAATTATAACATAATAAATAACTTTATTTTTCAAGATAAATAGTATACAAATTCATTTAATTTTCCATTTGATTCTATTGAATTATGAACTTCTTTGGATTTCAAAATTCCTAACCTAATTTATATTGATTAGATTAAATACTAATATCATGATTGATTAATCTAGTATCATATTAAATGGGTAGAAGATGATGTAGTTTGTATTAGAAAATAAAAATCAAAAAGTTTTTGAGTTAATTGAATAAATTATCAATTCATCCTTATGATGAACCATATAAGGATAATTTTCTGGAGCTATAATTATAATATTAAAAGTAGTAAAAGAGCAAATTTATCAGTTTTCATTAGATAATTTACATATTTAAATTTGAAATTGATTAGGTTTTCAAGTGAAGTAGTTTATCTTGATCTATTAGCCCTATTTTAAGTACTTGTCCATCTAAAGTTGCAAATATGATGAAGCAATATTTTAGTTTAATATAAATTATTTAATGCTCAGTTTCAATAATAGTAATTCCTTTATAATATTGCATCTCTTATTAAATTTCATTTTTAAGAGTATTTTTTTATTTTTTCTAATCCAGTTCCAATCTTAAATTTTCAAAGTTCATTTAGATTAATTGTAATTTCCTAAAGCTTGAATAATACTTGTAAATAAATTCAAAATCAAAGAAATCATCTAAATACATTGAAGATGCAATTCAAATTTCCTCTAATAGATTTTTTGATTTAATTGTTTAGAATAAAAATTAAGGTAATCACTCATTCTTTTCTATAAGATTCACTGTCATAAATTTTTCTATTTAAAGAGTTCTTTTTCTCAGATCACTGCAAGTTTTTTGTGATTGCTTTCATGAAATAATTATAATGTCTTATTTGGTTTGACAATTGTGTTAGTCATTCTAGATTCCTACAAGATAAAAAGGGATGGGTATATTTGTGAGCCAGCCCTCTTGATGCAGCATCTATTCCATATGAGTTACCCATTACTAATTTCATAGGAGTAAATGGTCTATGCGATGCTTGCAGTTAATAAAATTAACTTATTTTTTCTTCCGTATCTAAATTCTTCCTCAGGTAATTCAATAGCTTAAACATTAGTGACTTTTTAACTGGTAATCGAGCATCATGAGTTTATCTAAAATTTATCATATCCTTAAAGAAATATTAATTAAGTTGCATAAGCAGTGAGCTGCATTATGAACTATAATGCTAGTTTTTAATGTGGAGGACTGTATTTAGGCCTGAATAATGAGAATTTTGTACTAACTCAGTCAATATTACTATATCATTAAGCAAATTAGGGAGGAGGAATAGATTTAAATGGAGATACTAATTTAAATATTGAAAACCTACCTAACTCATACTTACAATTCAATAAGGCATAATCATTTGGTAATAATTTGGTTGAAAGTCCATCACATTTGGCTTTGAATATTAATAAAATGAAAATGATATCAAAATTTTCAGCTAATTATAATCAAATAAGAATTGTGAAGTTAGATCTATATTTTATCCAGGATTAAGAAGTCAAAATATCAACTCAGTATTTAATGATACCAACTAATCAATAGTTGAAATAGTATAAAATATATTTACCAAAGCAGTAAGAATCCATATCCTAAATAAATTAAATTTACTTAACGCTTAAAAATAGTAGGGATGAACTAGTATAAGTTAAAAAACAGTATCGAATGGTCTACTAAAATTATTGATGCTCCTCAAATTACAAATTAAAATATGATTCAGACAATAATTATTTAGATTTGAAGGAACTAGTCTTTCAATTTGATCCATACAAACAGATGAACAACTATTTACAAATTAAATTTAATTGTTAATCTGTAATTAAAATAAATATTTAATATATATCTTTAGGAAGCCAAGTAATAATTAGACGGTATGAAAATCTTATAAATTTAGACTCATTAACTTTTATTGGAAACATAAGATTTAGATAGAACAGCCGATGTGGAACATAAATCCTTACTACCTCTCGTTACAGATAGATATTCATTTGGTAATATTAATAAACGCAAAGATTTTGATTTATGATATTTCTGGTTGGTTTTTTTATTTAAATCAATATGCATTAAATAAAGTCATAATAGATTAGTATTTATAAATACAAAAATTATTAATATTAATAGGAAATAAAATTTTGTAAGTTTTAATAGGTTATATAAATTGTGATAATAATATTCTTATATCTATTTCATAAATTCAATAGTTTGAATTTTAGTTCCCCATTTTTATTAAGGGATAAAGTTGGAACACAAATTTTTTATAGCCTTAAATAGCAAAGTATAAATACTCTTTTTTCTCCTAACGCTTCTTTTAAATTGTATGGAATCGCAACTTTTTCACATTTTTTTCTATCCTCGAACTCCTCTATCTCCATTAATCTAGTTTTCTATTTAATTTAAAAATTAAGCTTGATTTAGGTAATAAAGTATTTATTATGGTTATGAGTAGTGTGAGAATTTTATCTTTGTATTTGCTATAATATGCTGAAATAATATCATGAAGATATGGAAAACTAAATTTAAAGCATATAAGCACAATCAAAATTGACAAAATTCTTGCTTACACATAATCTCCTTACTATTCACAAAGATATTACACTGCAGCAAAGAATATTGCTATTAAACAAAATTGTCCAGAAATCAAATCCAATCTGTTTAATTTTGGATAAATGTAAGGCAGATATGTTGACGTTATTATTTAATAGATAGTTAAGCAAATACCGATCAAGACACCTTTAAAATACACATTCGTTTCAAAGTAAATCAATATCACAATAATGATTGTTTTCTTCCATAACTTTACCCATTCCCAAAAAGATCGATTAACACTATATTCATTAAATAAATAGCCAATGTGCCTTCTAAATGGTATTTTATCAAATAATTATCTGTTTTGGTACAAAAACAAAAGTAATGACATTGGTATAATTAAACCAAGCAGCAATGATATTGGCAATGCAAACTTATACATCCATGCTGAGTGAGTTGATGACCCAAAGAGAAGAGACACATCTCCTTAAACATATTCAATATCTGAGATTTCCCTTTTTGCCAAAATGGAAAAAAACCTTAAATAATTATATTATCTTACTGATTTATTAATGCAGCATAGTTTTAAATATACATGTAAATTAATGTAATTGAAATTATGTTATTACGAAGTTTGGCGATTTCTAACAATGAGATTATGTTGACAACTACTTAAATGATGAATATTTAGAAAGTGATTAAAGTAAGCATCATTAATGTTCTCGCATATATCAAATCGATTTCAAAAGATTAGGAGAGTTCACAATCTAAATTACGAGTCAGGAAATAGGAGGTATCACTTATTGAGTTAACAAAGATAAATGAAAATGAGAATTCAATGTTAAAAGTGAAAATAACAGAAAATATCCAAGTATAATTAAGAAATAGCTTTAACAATATGCTCTCTTAATCTAAAAACAATATTTTAATATTTACTTAAATTCATTTTGAACAAGATATGGGCAAATTTTTAAATAAGTTTAAATAAAGCAAATAACTAATTGGTTTTCTCTACACTAGCTAATGTAATGAAAGTTGAAAGAAAAACCCTAAACTAAATTAATTTATTACCAAGCAGTTATCAGAATTAAGGATACTATGTTAATAGAAACGTCGCTGCAATTCCAACATGTAGATTGATCATTTTTAAAATAATATCCATCTCCTCTGATATTATGCTTATCACACTCTTCGCATAATCCTCCTATATATCCAGTTTTGCAAATATCATCACCAACAAGCCAACCACCTTTACATGATTCAATATTTTTGAAACAATCATTAATTAAATCGGACTCCTAATGAGGCCTCCAAAATCCAGGTTTCAAATTAATACTGTTGGAAGTAATGGCTTCAAATTTGGTTTTATCAAATATTGAACACTTTGTGGCATTGTAGGTTACAGAATAAAAACCTTGATTAGATTAGCAAGTCAAACAACCATTTAAAACATAAAATTCTCCCAATTAACAAAGTAGACTTTTTACCTTTATATTATAAGATAACTCTTAAATCTAATTTTTGGTTTTACAGTAGATTTAAATTTCATACTATTTGTCAGTTTGATTATACGGATCAAAAGTGAAAGTCAACATTCCTAGGTCAAATTTGCTTGTAGTTTAGTTAAATTAAATTGATGAAACATTAATTGATTCTAATTTGGTTTATTTCTTAATATCAAATATCTATTCAATGATTTGGCAAGTTGAATTAGTAAAATTAAGCAATTATTCATTAAATCTATTTTTAAATTGAATTGATAACTCATTTATATATGAGGTAAATTTATTTTTTTTAGGATCGTATAAATCAAATTTAGCTGTCTCTTAATTGCTAAGAATCATCAATTTACTTTCCATTATTTCTTTACCTTATTAAATTATTTGATATGGACTTAATTTTAATGACTTTATCGATATTTAATCTAATATAAAATCTGAAGGCATTATTTAATTATTGATTGATAGATCTAGATGAGAAGGTAACTCTTGCAAATTATTTGTAGTTAATTCAGCATGATTAAACAGAATGAGTGACTTCGCAAAATTCATCTCACTTAAAATACTTTCACTAGTTAAATAAATTCCTCCACCTTCCCTTGCTTTATTATATTAAATTAGCGTTGAAATTATATTGAAGTCTTTATTATTAAGATCCAAATATAATCCACCTCCTAATGAAGTGGCAGTATTATTCAAAATCTTATTATTAAGCAACACGGTCTTGACGTTTATTGAAGATACGGCTATTCCTTACCCACCTGTATTATTAATAAAAAGAGAATTTCTAATAATTAACTTCCCTTAAATTTGTTTATCAGATAAAGCAGTAATACATCCATATTTTTATACTTAATTTCCATTACATGACAGCTCTTGTATCTTTATCTTTAAAAAATCAACTAATTAAAAGTAGATTAAACCATTCTTACAAGTTTTGCAATCATTATTTTTTAACAATATAGATTCCAATCTTATTTTTGTTAGGTTGTTTGAAGATTTTATATATAAGATCGATCCATTTTAAGTGGAATATGATTAAATCAATTCAAAATTATTTTATTTTACTTCTAAAACTTTTCCATTTACCGGAAGAGATACAATCTTTAATTTTTAACATTTAGGGTGTTCTATGTAGAAATTTGGGTAAATTTAAGGAGTTAATGTATAATTTTAATTATTAAACATGCTTATTTCATAGATTTTTAGGTTTAGAATCTAAATTATTGATTTAAATTATGCAACATATTCAATATGAAGCAAATTCAAATTATAAAATATAGTAATTTAACTCAATTAAATATTCACTATTTATATCTTTTTGCAATTTATCAAATTTATAAAGCCAATTAATGCAAATCCTTCAAATTTAACACTATGAAATTTTAAATTGCATCCCTATATATTAAAAATAGCATTGTTTTAAGTTATTTTTGATAAAATTATTGGTTCCAAGATGTTAAGCTATCTGTTGTACTACAATTACCCTTCTTAAATTTAATGTATAAAAATTTCCTCTATTGTTACTTAATTGTAATCAGCCTGTTCAGCAGGGAAGATGAAGGCTAAAAACAAATTGATTAAAGAGAAACAATTTGAGATTTGGACATTTTTTATGAGAATATTATTTGAAATCTCTGATGGTTTAAGAGATATGATTGCTGGAGCTAATTGATTATTAACTTCTGTGAAATTAAAATTTTACAGCATCATAGTTAAATAACTATTTTCAGAATTTATACTGATTGATCCTTCTTATTCCTAATTAGAAAGTAAATTATTTTGAGAATTAGAAATACTGCAATATTCTAGAATCACAATTCCGTTCCCTCTGGTGATAATATCTAGGACAGAGCTACTTTTGGCAATTATGTATTAAAATTATCCATTTTATAAAGTGAATTTATCTGCGATTATTTACATAACACCACCTTTATTTTTAATTGAAAGTATTTATTCGATCATATAATTAACTTCAATCTAATTGAGATCACTTTGCAACTAAATATCATAATACTTATTCCAAAACTCCATTTTAAGGTAATTATGTTAGAATACTTTAATTTGTACTACTTTAGCTTTACTAGCGCTGATAGCAATAAAGGAATTAGAAGAATTTGTTAGCGAATTCTGAAAACACTAAATATTTTAAAGAACTATTGAACTATTCATAGAGTTAATAAACAGCAAACTTGCAGAGGTTTATTTTGGATCTTCAGTATATTAATAGTAAGAATTCTCTTCATACAAAATATTCTGCAAATAAATTGACTAAACTTTATCAGAATATATTGATATAATGGAAAAATAATTTCCTTAACTGATTTTCGTTAAAATGTTTCTATTAAATGTAATATTTTATATTGTAATATCTTCTTATATTTTATTTATGATTAAATCATTTGATTGAATATCAATAAAAGATTAGTCTATAGTAATTTAATTAGTAAATTGTATAAAACCTAAATTGAGAGTCTAAAATCCTTTCACAGATAGTAATTTCGAATATTAATAGTTGTTAATTGCACAATCTTAACTAAGAGGAATTTTAAATTATTAAAGTTCATTTTATACGGATACATTCCTGAAGACAATTACAGATATGTTATATAAATAAAAGTAGCGATGATTAAAAGTATTTAATATGGAAATATTCTAAACTAAAATATTAGAACAACTAAGTATAAAAGCGTAATCCTGGATTTCTTTTTTAGGATTACTGTTATCTTTAAAAGCTATGTTTGTTAATTCTATTTTTATTGCTTTTATTTTATTTTAATCAATAATTAATACTTAAAAATTCTGCAAGATATTGGAAGATATATCAAAATCATCTAATTTTATCTCATATTAATAATCTATCGAGAATTACTTCCAAAACAAAATTGACTATTCAAAAACATTTTTTTTTAGTAAAAAGTGAAAGCAAAAGAGATCTTTACTAAATTTTATTAGCTGTGAATTAATAATCTAGTTTTCAATAATTTAAAGAGATTCGAATGATAGCAAATTATTATCATAATTTTATAAAATTGAAGAATTAGAAATTATTGAATTAGTTATTGTGACATCCTTTATTTTTATTTAAGATGATTCCTTCATTAGTTTTATATTAAGTAATGTAAAATTATTTAATTAGCATCCATCAATCAAAAGGGTTTCAATGAAAATATGTTTTTTTGATGTTGTATTAAAATTGAACAAAACTGCATTGCTCATAATGCAATCTCTAAGAAAAAAGGACTATATCAAAATATCTTCATCTGCAGTACTCTAATCTATCTAAAAAATAATTTAATTATCAATGTTAGCATTTAAAATTGACACATTATGAATTTTACATCTCTTATAAAAATTCATAGAGATGCTGAATGAAATTGGTTTTAGCTTATTTGAATAGAAACTGCTATTTTGTATTTGATAATCTATTGCTTTTTTATTATTATCAAAATTTATCTTAAGGTTTTTCTCTATATTTACAAGCAAATTATTTAATTCTATTTAATTAAAATTATAAATTTAGTATAAAGAAAATACCGATAGAGTTCCTTGTAAGCTTAATTTAATAGCTTGGATTGAAAATACTTTTGTTTAAATTTAATTGGTAATATCATAATAATTAGGCTCACATATAGCCTTATCCTAAATTGATATTATTAAAAAGAATTGCTGCAGACCAATTTCATTAAAATAAGAGAAGTCAAAGTTATTCTCAAAGAATTTCTCTAGTCCTGGATAAAATATCTCTGAGGAATTTTAGCAAGATAATGTAACCTCTTATTATTATAAATCATTACTGAATATTCAAAAGCAATTTAATTTGGATCATAAATATATTGAGCAATTTATAGATATGGGTCAATTTAAATATTCGAGGTTGAAATGCTTTTTATACACTAGGTTGTAAATTAAGTATTTATATCGTTAGTTTTGTAATAAGGATTTATGCTCTAAAATATCAAATTCAAAATACCATAATGCCATTATTAGATCTTATTTAGCATAATATACAAAATGAAGGACAAATTATACATTTTCCATTTTCTTAAACTCGATAGGGATCTTAGTAAGGGTTTAAGGAACATAAATCACAAGTGAAGCTAGCTGAGCTTATTTGCTTCTAACATCGCTAACAATTTTAATCGCAATATTCTGCACATTTATTATGGACTAATTAGTATCCGTCAAAACATTCAATTATATATTAATTGAAACTGTATTGTAAATAGGAATAATTGATTTTCGCAAATAACATTGTGAAGCTTTGGACCAAATACCTCCAAATATTTTCATCATAAAACATCGCCAAAGATTGTTTTTACTCATCAATCCATATAAATTCGCATAATCCTGAAGTATATTATGCAATATACCCGATTTCACAAATTATACACTTTACAATACCTTGAATATTTTTATAACATTATTAACAATGAGAAATATAATGTGCACAGCTAATTATTTAAGGTGCAATTGAAAAATCATCATTTGAGGATAAGATACATTGTTCTTCACCTTGTTGATTCACAAATGATCTGAGACAATTGTATATTTATGGTTATTAAAAAAGGCATTATCCTATTTTGAAGTCAAAAATATATCCTTCTCGACATTATGCACAACCTATCTCCACTTACAAGTCAATTGCATTAATTCTGTTATCCGACCATTTGTAAAATATAGTATTTTTTTAGACATCATCTGTTAAATAATCAAAACAATAAAGGCAGTTCTCGATAGGACACAAAATACAAGTGTAGTAATATGTCTAATAATAAGGAGTTTCACAAACAATAACGGTTGGAGTCTACATGTATTAACGTATTAGACAAGCTCCATCTGTTAATAAATACTGGGGTAAACACTTAGAGCATCTTTGCTAAGATATTTAAATTTAGCATTTTAGACAATTTTATAAAATGACACATTTTGATGATTTTATAGAACTTTTGCATTACAAACAAAAAAAATGTGAAAAGCGAACAAAAGTCTATGTGTAATCTGAATAAATATCAGACTGTTATTCTGAATTCTCACTTAATTTTAAATCCTTTTCATCAAAAAAGTACTATTATATCCCTTCATCTTGTTTTGTAAATGGTAACTAATTATCATTTGTTACATAATTATATTAACAATATGGATTGTTTATCCATGTTTTTGGATTTGTAATACATTCTATACAAGTTATTAATCTCTCTTTTATTTTAGAAGGGCTATGTCAATTAGAAAATAAATACCATTTAAAGCATTGATCTTCAAATTCAAAATATCCATAGGAACATTAGAACTCCTTTTCATTTCCTTAAGCCAAATTAAGTTAAAAGGAGAGGTAATCTTTGCATTCTCCATCAATATCAATTTTTCCATATAAACAAACACAAGCTTTCTATTGTTGGTTATATATTCTATTTGTAGAAGAATCGCAAGACAAACAATCATATTTAGTTGGACCATCACATTCAAAACAGGATAAATGACATAATTCTGGATTAATATCGATTTCTCAATTGTAGAAAGCCATTTTGATTAGTTGGATTGTTAAATAGTTGATATTTTACAATAGATTACCAGTAGTTACTTTAAATCTAATCTAATTAAAATGATTAACATTAGACTCAAAAGAATATTCCTTAACTTTTCTTCCTTCATAAAAGTTTATTGTTACCAACAAAGAATTTTTGCTCTTCTTAACAAATAAAAAATGCCATAACTATATATTCATCTCTATATCGAAAGTTTGCCTAATTAAAAATGGATTATCTGAAAAATCAATGTTTATTGCTGGGAAAGTGTAACTATAGGTGGTTATAATGATCTGATTGAGGGTTTGAGTCAACTTATAATAAAGTGAAAAAGCTGAAAGGTTATCATTCACTAATTTGGGATTCTGAAAGTGTGCCGATAATTTTATTAAGTGATAATAAATATCTTTTACAGAAAAGATCTTTTCTTTGATTCTAATCCATGTTGTAAAAAGAAATTAATCACAATTTAGATTTTTTGATATAAAATATTCCTAATTTAGGTTTGAAATAATTGTATCAGGAATATTATAAATATCATGCGAGTTCCAAAGATAGAAATATCATAATCATCTTTTATACTATAACAACTGATATATGGGATATAGTATTTCATATTTCCTGGAAAAAAAGTAAGTGTAGATATTTATGGATTAAATAGAGTTTAATTAAAATTTATCTATAGACTTCCTCCTATCAAAAATGATTAATCCCTATCATAATGTTAATACGAAAGACTATATTCTTGCGTATCGAATTATTGATTGTTTTTGAAAGCAGTTATGATTAGTTTTTTTTCAGCTAACGCAACAATAACTCCTAAAAAGTACCAATATGATTCATATTCAAATGTATTTAATATATATGTATGTTTGTAAATTTTAGTATCCTCTCCAACAAATGTATATGTCTTTTGTATTTATTTTTTTTAATAATCAACACAATCATAATATAAAAAGTTAATATTACCATCCATAGTATCTCTGATATTAAATATATGAAAGCAATTGCTGTCTAAAATTCCAATATCTCCTAACTAATTAATCTCAATCAGTGGATTATATCTTGTATAAAATCCATAAACTTAGCAGTAAGGACCATCTTCTTCTTGTATTGGCTATTTAAACGTGAAATTTTTAAATTAGTATTGTAGGTCCATCTTAGAAAGTCCCAAGCCCTCTGCAGATTACAAACCATAAAAGAATAACAGAATAAGTTAATTCATTTTGATCAGATATTTTAAATAAAGAATTAAGATATTTTCACATATAAATCACCTAATTTAAATTAAAATCATATAGAATTACATTTAATATATTTTTTCATAGGATTAATTATTGTAGATCTTAAAATAAATATTTTATCATAAACAATTAAAAAATATTAATATATATTATTTCATTGCATCTTGCGAAACAGTTACCGTAAAATCGCACCAACTTGGCACAATCAAATTTTTCCATTCATTAATGCTCCAGATACCCATTTTGGTAATTCTGTATTTTAAGCAAGATAAATCGGTTTGTTTGAGATGAGTTTGAATTTTCAATATCAATAAATTTCTTGAATACAAGACCTTATGGTGTTATTTCATATTCATATAATTATTTTGCAGTTTTATCACCTGCCCAAACTCGATTCTTTCTTTCCCATGTGATTCCATTCAAAACAACTCCAGTCAAAGGAGCATCAAGTAATTCTTTGCAATTTGGTTTTATTATTGTGCCTTCCTTTTCAAATTTGCAATCTACAATGTATGAAGTTCTTTATTGACTTACCCACAAAAATACAGTTTTAATAAATGTAATGCAGTGATTTAATGTCTTAATTCATTTGGATCTGTATATAACATATACTTAGTGATTAAATACCGATTGTCTTCTATTAATATCAAATCATTTAATTTTCCATTGTATTTGTCGTCCATTATGATTGAACTCCGATACTCAAGATTGAGGTGTTCATCTAATATTTTGAAGACTTCCACTCTTTCTACTCCATTTTAATATGCATGATTTATTCCATAAATATAGACTTCATGAACATTTAAAGAAATATCATTTGGAAAATTCTTAAATCCTTATTCGCAACTTTTGGTGCTTATTCTTATGAATCCACTATTGCAGATAATCCTAATTTCTCTAGAACAGGTTTTTTAAGGGATAGGATAGTCACCAGATCCAACAATTATTATTTTTGAGTTGAATTTTTGCATGTCATCTGTTCCAAAAAACTTTTTGCTCAAATGTTGGCAAAACGAGTATGTATTTACCAAAGAAACACTCTTGAAAGCATTAAAGAACCCGATACACACTTTTATCAGATAAGAAATTATTGCTCCAGCCATCAGAATCCAAATTTCATAGAATAAATTGAAATTATCCACATTAAATTTGATCAGATATCAATTCAAAACTATGACAAAAGCATAATCAGATTGATGATGAAAGCAATATTAATTTAAAGATTGCATGATAATTAAATTCATTGAAGCATTCTTTGGATAAGTTTTACAATTGAACTAACAAATTTTACTATTATGAGAATATACAAAAAAATAATTGTAAATTCTAACCTCCTAACAGCAGCATATTATTATATTGAGATATAAATAATAATCTTTCTAAAGAAAAAAAATGATTTTAGACTAAATTATTCTTCATTAAATAACTTAGTACGTTATTCCAGAGAATAAGGTCTATAAATAATTAAAGTATGCTGCAAATCTGAATCAAGAACACAAATTAGCCTTAAATAATAATCTATTTGTGAAACATTATAAATAAATTATAATAGACAAGTAAGGAACATTCAATAAAAAGAACTATCTCCTTTTTAATAAATGAATAGTTCTCTTAGAATTGCTATCTATGTATTATTAGATATATGATAATTATCTACAGTTCACCTTAAAACATTTCCTAGACCTAATTTCATTACCTTAATTTTTAATTCTGGACCAAATTATTCTAAATCATTTCCTCCAGTATCTTTCTACAAATATAATGGACTAAGCCTACGTCATTATGCTATGGCAGGACAAAATATAATTACTTATGCATTTTCATTTCAATATTGGATACATTAATTAATATTACGTGATAAATGATAATATAAATGGTAATCTATTATTTTTTATTGGAAAAAATAATTAGTGGCCCAATATCAGAAATTTGGCTTCAATTTACAGGCAGAATTTGTAATGAAGTTCATAACGTTACATGCTCTTCTCAGAGTAATTGTTCCAATAGCAAACTCTGCCTCTACTGACAGCAGCAACACAAGTAGTATCTAATTAGTTTTATTTGTATATATGATAAAATTTTTGTTGGTTTTGCCATTGATTCCCAAACATGCATATTTTTGAACCATACTTTGAGCTTAAAATATTGTATTAAAATTTGAAATACTTCACATGCGAAGTACAAATTCGTTGTTGGATTATTTAACTCATTCTAAGAGCTAGCAAGAATCCTTATTCTTGTAGCAAGCAAGCATATTGTTTGGACAAAGTCACGTATTTCTTGCAATTAGCGCAGTATTTTACTTGGGGTTTCTAGAATATAATTGGATGGAAAATGTTAGGAAAAATATATGAATAGTTTCTATAGTAAGTAATAATGCTATATAGGTTTAATAATAAGGAACATTCATATGAAATGGCAGATGTTGAATTTCTATATTTAGATAAAAATGTTCATTCACCTTTCTCATCAATTTTAAATGGAAAATTGTTCTGAGATTTTATACTATCTTTTTAAAGTTCTAATTCTTTGAGTTGGCAATTATAAAATTTAAGCTGTTTAACAACTTATAAATTATACTTCATTTTAGTTCATTACATTGAAATAAACATTGAAATAATCTTCTAGAAAGTCTGCTTACATAATTAAAGACTATTGTTGGTATTGGTCTTAAAATTTTATCTGAAAGGTCGTTTTGTGTTTAATTTTTATTGACTTCGATATTTTAAAATCATTTAAGGTTTTACTTTTTTAACAAATTTCTAATATTATGGGTTTGGTTTTTATTTAAACTTACTTCCAAAAACATCAACAATATGGTCAATGCTGATACAAAAAAGTTTAGATTCTAGAACAAGTTTTGATGTAATTGGGAAAATTTGACAATCATATTTTTATTCTTGATAGTTGATTTTAATTCAGTCAAAACTAAAAATTTGGATTTAAGTCATTGCTCTCCAATAATAAAATTTTAATCTATTGTTTGCATAGAATGGTGGTAATTATTTGGACAAATTAGATTTTTACCATACAATATTGTTATATTTTTTGGTAAACTAGTTGGCTACTATTATAAATAAAATTATTAATTATCACATTATAGAACTTATATATTCCTTTTAAGAAAATCTTTTGTGCAAAAGCAATATCATAGGTAAGTGTTTGTATGCGAAACTTATTTTGTATCCGATTAATTGTTCTATTAATTATCTAGTGTTTTCTTGTATCTATATCTTAAGTCCACATTTTAAACAAGCGAATGCGAGCAGATTTGCTGTCTAGGATTTTAACTAGTCATTTTACATAATTAACAAAGCTGCATAGAGTTTTTCCTTTATTTAGCATTAACTGATTATTATAATATTTATAATTAATAGAAGCATTTTATTAAATAGTAATCTTCTTGTTTTATTCCATCTATTTTCCAATGTTAAATTATAAAAATCATTTATAGAAACTGTTCTAAATGTTATCACTTAACCTTAATTTGAAATGGATTTCTTCTATAGAATAAAATCAAAAAAATGCTGCAATTAAATAATATCAAGCTCAAGTGAAAAGCATTTCCACTTTGATTGAAAGTTATGAATTGGAGATAAATAATCTTGATAAAGTTCAAGGTGCTAAGTAGTTAATAGTTATACTGAAGGTACCTTTTCCATGAATTTGATTATAAGTTCAATAAGAAAGTAAAATAAATGTGAAATTTGCTGTTAAAATAAATCATAAAATTTGATAAAAGATTTTGTTTGTTCAATGTTGTTCAAGGATATTATAAAAATTAAACAAAAATTTTTTTCTATTTTAAATGATCGAAGCTTTCTGTGATTTTATTTTCTTCCATTTCTCTATAAAGTGGAAATCTCCTGCGAATGATTGAAATCAAAATTGATAATATTGCGATTTCGTTGGTACGTTTAATTATTTAGATTTGCATATATTTACCCATCAAGTATTTTACCTTAATAAGAAAAGATTTTTCTTAAATTTACTCTTACCCCAATTAATATTTATTTAATTGTTTAATTTGAAACAATGAAAAAAATTGATAGAAAAACTAATTTTGGAAATATAATTAACATCAAAATCTGCTAACATATTTACAATCCATCAACTCAATAATAAAAAAAAGGGTTAAAAGGTTATCAATAGCTATTGCTTAATAATCTTTTGTTGAAATTTTGTTTCTTTGTGAACTTAAACGAAATAGAAAAGTTCTCTACATAAAGGCTGACTACATATTCCTTAAAATTTAGGTTTTCTCCTTGTATAAATGAGGAAAGCTATCGCAAATTCTGAAATTTTGATTAAATGTAAATAAGTTAATATTTTTAATAAAATGTTTAAACCAAAAATGATGGAAAACGAAAAAGATTTTTCATGTTCTTAAGGCCATAAGCTACCTGTAGTTAAGATTTCACTTGATCCAAAATTATAAAGAAATTAAAGATTCTTGTGCCCAGAATGTTTAGAGAATGCTGACTTAGATGCTAAAGTAGTTGGATTAAAGACAATTATTTCACTAATAGAAGAAGGTTAGACAAAACAGATTGAGAAAGTGGAATATGTAATAGTGAGCTATATAAAATTAATTGAATAATTACGTGGCCTAATAGATCAAATGAAATCACTTGCAGTCTAATAATTCGACTAGTCGATTACTATAATGAAGGAATGGATCTAAAATCTATAATAATTAGGATCGTAATAATATAGTTATAGTTTTGAAGAGGAATTGGAAATTATGCTTTTGTAATAAAACAAAACTAATGATAACCTATAATTATTACTTCATGAAATTTAACAAACAAGTCGCTTTTATACTTCCAGATTGCATCCTAAATTAGAATAATTTAATACATTTATTGAATATAAAAAATGTAAAGAACTATTATCAGATTTAGAATTATCTTCTTAGAAATTTACTCTAAGTTAATAATAGTTGCAAACAAATAGAGATTTTCAATAATAAATTAATTATAATCGATAAGAAATAGTATCAAAAAATGAAATCAAATTAAAATTAATTGATCAATCTATTAAATAAAATGAATAATGTAATGTAATAGTTTTTGATTCTTCCGGGTTAATTATGGTCTCTACTGAAAAGTATGATATTAAAGTATGGAGTTTTTCAAATGGATCAATTAAATTATTAAAAATATTGTAAGGTCATACTAATTGGATCTAATGTATAGTGTATAGTAACAAAAGGAATTCGTTAATTTCATGTTCTGGAGACAAAACTATAAGATGCTGGCAATAATTGAACTAAGATGATTGGATTAGTTCATAACCTTATTAATAACATAGAGATTATGTTTGGTGTATTATATTAAATTCGAATGAGGATTTACTATTTTCTGGAAGTAAAGATAAATCAATCAAAGTTTGGAAGGTTGATTTTAATCAAAATTCATTGAAATTTCTATATTCATTGGATGAGCATAATAATTTTGTTGTTTCCTTAAGTTTAAATTAATCGGAAAATTAATTAGTATCGTGTGCAAGAGATTAGAATCAAATTATTATCTGGGAAAGGAGAGAAAATGATCAGTTTGAATTCAAATATTTTGTTAAATAATCAATTTAAGAATAAGGATATAAGGTTAAGTTTATTAAAGATAATTAATTTATTTGGATAACTGGTGGGGAAAAAATAGATAAATTTTATATATTTGAATTAAAATTAGGAGTCTTTTAAGAAAATTAGGACAAGACAATTCAATTAATTATAAATAATCAGTATTATGATCAATATCGTTTCCCAATTATCTACAATAAAGAGAGAAATTTGATATTAGTAAGGCATAAGACATATATCTATATCATTAGAGAAATAAATGATGGAAATTACAAAATTTATGATTAATTAAATTGTGACACTACATTAATTTTTGGTACTATTTCAAATAATGGACAATATTTAGTGTATTGGGATGACAAAAATTACGGATATACAATATATGAATTATTAAATAAATGAATAATTAAGAATTTTTTTATTTTATTAATGATGTTTTTCTAAATCAGCAAACACTTAAAAATAATTTTAAGTTTATCAAAATCTAGAATCAACCTTTGCCCAAAATATAAACTTCCAATTTAAAATACTCGTTCTATACATAAACTTTGAAACTTCATAAAGAAAGCAAAACTGATTTGTTTCAATTTAATTCTTAATTTTAGAAAATTAGAATTAGATTTAACGTTAAAGGGGCAAAATCTTTATTTAACTATATATTTTATTTGATGGACGAAAAAATTACATTCTTGTTTTCATGTTGATTTAGTTACTGACGAGCTAAAGTTATGAATAATGATAGACTTATTTTTCTCATTTTAGCAATCATCTAATACTACAGTCTATCTTAATTTCGATTAATACAGATATATTTTTAATCCATCTCAATCTTATCTTATGTATTCATTTAATTGCGTCTGCTAATTCATCTAAATTTACTTTTGGTTAGTTTACGGAATTCAGTTTCAATAACATCCTAAAATGAGAAAGTGATATAGCTCAAGAACAAAATTAGGTTAGAGAAAGATGGATTCTGAATGATCTTTACTAATTATTATAAAAAAGTAAATGAAATCAAAAAAATAAAAAATTATCATATCTTCCACAGTTAAGGTATTGAAAATAGAAAGTAAAGTTATCTGATATTAGAAATTCTTATAAATTTGTTTTAGTTAAATATCATCATTTCCTTTTTGATTTTAGATTGTCCTACAATCTATAGTTGTCTTTTTATAGTATATTTAACTTTTCCTCCAAAGCTTGCATCTTCAGTTAATCAATTTGTTCATCTCATAAAAATATTAAACAACCTTAAGTATTATTATGAAATGAAATGAAGTGTATGAAAAGTATCTTTTGAACTATTCTAAGCTCTTTCTTAATTCATTTTCTTTAATTTCATTTAGTTATTACTTTGTTTCAGAATTGCATTTTCTTTTATTAATTTTTTTCGTCTTTTTTTAAATATAGGAGGACAGCACTCCTTCTACTTACCCATGTATCTTTTCATCAATCATCAATAATTTAATAATATTTTCGAATTTCAATTTCCAATTAATATATTTTTCGTTGTTATTCTATTTTACTTCAAAATTTTTTTTAGTCTAAATTCCAAATTTTCCACTATTTCTTTGTCTACATTAAGTTATTCTAAAACATAAAACATGATATATAGCTTTATTGTTCAATAATCTTTATTAAACTTAATACTTTTTATTATTATACCAATTACTATTGCATCGTGTTGACTTATTATTCCTAATACTAATAAAGAATTATTTATTGTTTAAACTCATGCAAAATTTGGCTTGTTTATCTTTGTCAACCAAGTCTTAACTATTGGTTGAATTGAATTGAATTGATAGAATTACTTTTGTTAAAATGTCTATTTTAAAGATTGTTACTATCAAAGATTTTAAGATTTAGAATTGTTGTTGGGCTTGGTTGTAGTTGTTTAATAAATCTAGGTAAGAAGAATTATTATGACCTATGTTAAAAACATCAATAATTCATATATGGCATTCAACTTGCGAAGAAAAAACATGGGTAAATGCTCCAACATCTAATAATAATCATGATTAATGCACAACTTATTTATCAACATATACTGTTAATCAGAAGGAGGATGTTAAAAGAGAACATTTGACAATGTTCCTACAACATTGAATAAAAATGTTGCATGTTGAAACTTATTTACCTGCAAAAAAATGTATAACCAAAATTGGAGGTGGATGTATAATAAACACCACTTGTTCACTAATCTCAAAAGAACTTGCTTGTCTCAATATTCATTAGGATAACCTCGTTTTTGGAATGTTGTTAGTAGAAAATGCAAATATAGAATTTGTGTAAATGCTGTATAGTTATTACATAGTTAGCATTTAATTCCTAAGAGAAATCACCATAATAATAGTCCTGAACTTTGTTAATCTTTTTTGAACACATGTACTATCAATTCTACTATTACAGGATGTTTGGAAAATACATGTGAAAACTCATTAACTTTATCAATTGATGATAGAGATTTAAACAACAACACATGCATTTGGAGAGCGAGATGTTTAATAAATAATGTAGAATGGCTTCGACTTCTCTAACATCTCATTCTGAATGCTGAACTTATCATAAGAGCTGCACATTAAGTAACTCTGGAAAAGGATGTGTTACATTCCCTCAAATGTGAAGCACTTAAAATAAAAGTTGCTTGCAAAATATATTTCGACAACTTTTGTCTGTCTAATTTATTTATTTCCTTGTGTGGCTAATAATCCGATCACAGTAAATGGAACCTCAACTATTTAAGGATGCTAAGAATTACCTAAAACTTGCAATTCTAAAAATCTTTTGACAATTCTTATATTTATATAATAGGATTTCCAAACTGCTTATGGGGTGGTTCAACTAATAATTGTGTTGAACAATCTTTCACAACTGCAAACTTACCAAGAATACCAGAAGTAATTTTTATGGTTTATTCACTTTTGATAATTGTTAAAAGTACAAGCAAATTTAATTGTAATTTCCAACATTGAATTAACTTTACTACAATATCATATCCTTGCATCTAACATAATCCCAAAGATGGATGGATGACTAAGGCCACAAGTTGTTCACAATTAGTCTAGTGATAAAACTAAAGTTGATGGTGGTTGTATTTGGAATGGATCTAACTTTGTTGAGAAAATAGAACAAATTTGATATAAACAACTCATTTGATAATTGCAATAAATATTCAAATAATGTACAGTTAATGATGATGTTACAGCATACTTTCCCTTAGCCTCCACTTGCACTTCATATAAAATTTCAGATAATTGTAAAATTACTTCTACATCCATAAATTGTTATTGGACAGTAGAAATGCAATTTGCAAGGATACTCCAGATTCTGACCTTTTTGATTCGGATGAAGAAATTTCTTAGTTACAAAACCCAAAATTAGAGATAGACTATAATTGCAAAAGTGAGAGGTTATAGGTTTGTTTAAAAAGAGCGAATTACAAGACTTCCAGTTAATGCCTTAAGACTTTAACAAATTTCAAAGGTCAAGATGATGTAAATAGATAAATGGAATATGCTATTAATTGTCAAATTTTGCAACAGGAGTTTTTAGAAAATTATTCATATGAATTACTCAATTATTTTGATGAGTTCAGTTAAAGGATGATGTTGTTTAATGAAAGAGCCTATGGAGATTGAATAAAAGACCCAAAAAGGTATATAATATTATCAAAGTGTTTGTTTAAAACTTAAAATGTTTTTGTAGGCAAGGGATGATAAAAATAACAATGCCAATCTAAATTGATCATTTGAAAGATGTGAATAAATACTTTTCGAGGTGATCATGATATCTATAGGAATCAATTCTGATTTTTAAACTTGATACTCTAAACTAAGATATTCTTATTTATGGAAAAATTAATAAATATCTAATGCAGTGATTTGTTCGGTTAAGTTTGGCCTAAAGTTTGTGAATATTAATATTGATTTTAAACCACTATAATAAAAGAATTTAGTATAAACGAATAATTTTATAACCTAAGAATTATTTTAATTAAAATTACTGTGTTTGCAATTTATAGTTTTGAAAAACGATTATGCAATTGCAATTCATCAATTTAACTATCGGTCCAGTCAAATTATAATAAATAAATATTAAACGTATTGTAGACAATATAATTTTAAAAATGATCAAGTAAGAATTTAGAAAAGTATTATAAAAACTATACAAAGTTTTTCATTTCATTAAAGTAATTCACAATGAAATTATTTGAGAAATCTAAGTTTTTGTATTAAAATTATATTTCAATCCAACATTAGCTTATAAATAATTTAAATATAATAGTTATTAATTAACATCCATGATTATAATAACATTTATAAATGTAAATAAAATTTCTAGCTTCTTTTATTAGGAACTCAAAAATTATGGAAAATAGTTATTTTTTATATATAATATGTGAAGATAATTTTGAGCTATTGTTTAAGATTACATTTTTTTCGTAAATTGCATCAATTGACGTTTAATTAATTGCTTAATTCATGAAAATAATTTGTTTATAAATGTAAATTATTCAATTCAAAATAATTTTCAATCGTATCAATTTCTTATTTCAAACAAAGTATCCTTCTTCAATTCTTAAGGTTTGTCAATTTTATCTAAATTCAATAATGAATTATCTTAAATTTTATGAAACAATACTTTTATTTTTTAATATTTCTTGATTTATTGAAATTTAAAGAGCACAATCATATGATTCTATAGCTTAATGATATTCTTTAAGCTTATGTAATGTTAATCCTAAAATTAATGTTGAAATTAGTAACCTTTACTATAATAATAGTGCTGATTATTAGATTTTATATGGATAGCTATATTAAATGATTCTATAGCCTCACGATACCGTTTAACTTAATGTAAGACTTTTCCTAAAATTTAATTAATGATATTATTAATAAGGTTACCTTTATTGTAATAGGCCTCATCATTAAGAAAATTGATTTTTATCGCCACATCATAACAATCAATAGCTTAATTAAAAAGTTTCAATTAAGTTAGCGCATACCCTGCTTTGAAATACAATGAATACCTTTATTCATATATATAACATCGTTGTCAGAATTTATTTTCAGAGCTCTGTTATAATTTTAAACTGCGAGCTCAAAATAATATAATTTTGCTAAAGCATTTCCTATATTATAATTGATATCATCTACCGTTATAAAAATAAATGGATGCATTATCCTATTGTAAATGGATTGCCTTATTATAATATATAATAGCTTAACTATAATTCCCCTTCAGATATAAATCATTAGCTGAATAATATTAAATTTATTACCTATGGTAAAATACTGAGTTTAGTCTCTGAATGATTCTAAAAAAGATTGATTTTCGATGGCTTGCTAATACCTTAGTTACTCCTCAGATTCATAATTCATCCAAGGCATTATAATTGCCAAAAACAGAAAAAAGTAAAGCAAAATCATACTGATAATAATAATTTAGACACACCAATAACCTCCTATAGAAAGGCAGTTCTTTATATTCTCTAAAATAGATATTGCTAAGAATACTTATTAATTTATATCTTCCATTTTTTAAGCAATCCTCCTTCATTAACTCTAGAGATTAAATTAGTTGTTCCATTTAAGTTACCTCATTCACTAAACCTTATTAAAATTTACAATCATCAATTTATCCATCTGGACAGTATTATTATTTTAAGATTTTAATTTCTTAATTTGACAAAGATCGAGGTTTTTTCTTCGAAAAGTTTCTTTAAATGTTTCTTAGTTCATCTATTTGCTTTTCATAGGCATCAATTTAATATCTGCCTAATTATTGCAATTGAATTTATTTTTCTTTTGCCTTGTCTAAGTGACTCTTTTTTTCTTTGATGAAATTGGTGAAATCCTTGGTTATTTGTCCAAATTCTTTGCAACTCTCTATATGACCCCTATGATCTTGTTCTAAACATTTTTAACAATAGAAAAAATTTGAAGGACAATTATTTGATATACAAAACCCTATATAAATTTAAGATTTGTGAAGTTAACAATTCTAGGCTTTTTATGTATTAAACATTGAATTATTGAATAAATATAGAATTTGAAATTCTAATCTACAATATTTTTATACATACGTGTAAATAGTTTATCAATTCAATTTTATTAATTAAAATAAAAAAATAAAATTATCAATAAATTTTTGTTCATATATTTCAAGGTGGGAAGGTCAACTTTATTCTGAACTTATATTTACTTTACTTACAAGGATCTTGTTAGAAAAATTATTCAGATATTTACACATATATTTCAAAATTATTGTAATTGGATAAGTTGATCTAAAAATATAATTGAATTCAAAAAATTTGAATAATTTTCTCAAAAGAAAATTATCTTAAGTTCAACATAGTTATATTTTATAAATCATAAACTTAATTCTTGAAATTTATTAAGCCAATATAATATATATCTAATCTCAGATGTTTAAAAAGGTTGTAAACATAAATATAAATATCAAAAACAGAAAAATATATTCCTACATTAAAATAAAACTTCTATTTCAAATGCATTCATATGATTGTAATCTTCATATTCTTATTGAGTTATTTTAAAGTTAAAGTTAAATTGAAAAATGAACATAAATGTGATTAAAAATAAAATAAATTCTACAATTAGTTAATTTACATGAGATTTGATATTTTATAATTTAATTAATGGATAATCAACACAATACAACAATACAATTTAATACTAAATTATTTCTTAGAAATAACATTTTTAATGCAATTCCTTTAATGTAATTGCGATTTATACTAATAATTAAATAGTAGTCATCACAGAAGAATCAAAAAAAAATAATCTGTTCATTGAATAAAATACTTTTAAAACTATTAGGTTATAGGTTTTGAATATGCACCTTTAATATAGAGAATTAAGTCGCAACTGAACACAAAGAAAAAATGATAAAATTTGGAGTCAATTTGAATTGAATCCTGCGAAATGATTTAATTTGCTATTTATAAACCAACTTTTTTTGAATTAGTTTTATTCATTTTTTGATTAAGTTCAATTGCTTCATCAAATTAAATTATTGATTTTTCAAAGTATACTTGCACATCACTAATCAAAAGCAAATTTATAAGTCATAATGAAAGTTCTCCATTTATTAATAATTCTCTAAATTTAAGTTTTGAACTTTCTATTTTAGTTGTATTTAAGATTCTTCTATTGATTTTTAAGTTGTTCTACCTTATTTCATTAAATACTATTTTATAATACCTAACCTAAAGCATTGCTTTTTAATTAAGTTTAATTGATTTTTTCATAGTTTAAAAAATTTATAACTTTCTTAGTAACTATTTTTTATAAAATTTGCATTTTGAACTGAGTATTCATAAAATATAATTCAGGACACTTAGTTCATAAACCTTCTGCTTCACTGCGAATAGTTTAATAGTAATAATTTAGTGGACATTTTGTCCAATAATATCCATTAAAATTTTAACAATCCAAAAATTCTGAAGTGCAATATTGTTGACACCTCATTTTATTCTATTTCTTAGAAATAATTTAAATCAGTATGATATTCTTTTTAATAAAAATAATTGTTTGGTAAAATTTCATCATAAAACTCTGTATTCTCTAAATTGATGCATAAACGTCTTCTCCGTCAATCGAAATTTTTTATTCTTTAATGTATTTTTTTAGCAACATCAATATTAGATTAGAATCAGTAAGTCATATATTACAAAATATGCATTCAATTTCATAAAAAGGAGTCATAACACATTGTAAGCAATCTTCGATTAATCTACCATTTATTATTTCTGATGCTACACTAAAACCAGTAGATGATATAGAAGAGTTGGGAAGTATTTTTATAAGTTCTTAAAATATAAGATGGTTTAAAATTAACTGAATAAAACCAACCTATTTATCTAAATATTTCAATTCATTTTGTTCTACTATAAAGTTCTTAATTTTATAAATTTATAGATGACCTTAAGCAGTTAGATAAGGTCAGTTTTTCTATGAATGCGCTATCCAATAGAAAAATCAAATATATAATTTTCTTCACTCATTGCGCATCCCATGCTTAAATATTCAACTAATTCAATTTTTTCAAAGTTTGCTCTAAGTGGGAAATTTTTCATATTTTTTCTTTCATTTAATAATTTCAGCAGGTCTACATTGCGCTCTTATAATGTTTCATATTTTTATTTTTTTCTCAATTCTTTGATATAAATTAGAGTTCTATTGTTTCCAATATATATTTTCTTGATGATTTGAGTACAGATAAAAATTATCTGTGGCGTAAACAGCCCAACCAGCTGAATAATGTTTTATGAAATTGGGGTATTAAAAATTTTCAAGGCTTTTCGGCCGCCTCAATAAGAGCAAGCATTCTATACTTCCCACATTCAATATTTTTAGCTTGTTCATCCTTGTCGCTACTGATTTACAAAGTAATTTTCTTAATATATGAACTACTTATTATTTTTGTAGCACATCCTTAAAGTGTTTGTTTGGTTCTATTGATCAAAACCATTACTATACATTAATAAAAATGCTTTGCATGTTGTATGATAATTACAAGATGCTTTTGAAGCTGAGTATTTTTATCGAAATACCCTTATCTTTTGTATTTTTCTTAGGCTATTCTTTATCACTATAAGCAGCAAATGGAGTACAACCTACTAACAGTATTAATCAACCATTCAAAATTAAAAAATTTAATAGAATAACTATTTATTAAATGTCCTTTATTTCCGAAAGAACGAATAATGAACTGAAAAACAATTTACAAGTGAATTCTGATAAATTGATAGTTTTACAATAAGATATATAAATAATATTCTAACATTTAAAATTTTTTATTTGAAATGTAGATTCCCTTTTTAAGAACTTTTCTTTTCGATAATAGTCATCTCCAAAGACTGCTGCCTTTTATGCATGGTATTGAATTTATTCAAGGACGTTTTTAACACTTGAAATTAATAGTATATTGAATATAGAGGGAAGTACCGTCAATCTGTTTGAAGTCTAGATTAGATATGTTAATCTCCACCCAAAAGGTAGAACGTATTGTATATATCATGCCTTGTCTTTTTTGATCCTTAGGATCCATCTTGGAGAATGTGGATTCCACTATTTATTCCCAAGGTTCTTTATAATTATCAACTTCCAATCAGAATTTATTCTGGAACATTTTAACCTCAGTCAGTTTATACTTCTTTATGTCGACCATCAATGTAAGAAAAATCAAGCCCTATTTCACGGCCAACTGTGTATTAGCTTGATTATATGGAACTAGATCTGCAGAAGTTAAATCTAGAATCAGTCAACTTATTGTTTTCAATATAAACATCTGCAGCTTGCATGTTTAAATAGAATAATAATTCAGATATTGGGTCTATTCAACGAAAGTGTAGTATAGAATTGATTTATTAATAAATGTAAAAAACAGAATTTAATAATTGTAAATGCTGGTTTAGAGAAATAGTATTAATGCTTATAATTTAAAAATTAATCTTAAAAGATGACATAATAGTTCCAAACTAAAAATATACAATAAGGGTTGAAATTAATTAATTGAGTTTGAAAAGTTGAAATTTATGGTATTGAAAATATAAGAAGCTATAAATAATTCTGTGAGATAACTAAACAAGTCAAACTGTAAAGAAATTTGTAGTACCTTAACAACTTTTAGATAAATAATAAATCATTTTTAGATCTTATGTGACTAGTGCATTGAGAATACTGATTTCCAATTGACCAAATAATCTTACTCACCATCCCTACTTATCCTGAGATGAGGTAGTAATTATTTAGGATGCATAAGAAAGAAAATTAAAAAACGAGGAATTGAATTTATAATCGGGTTATTATAACAAAGGCATGTAAACTATCAGAAGTGATCTGGGTCTTTATGCCTAAGACTCGAAGAGACCAGCTAAATTGAAAATCTTAAAATGCTTCAAGGTCTCTTTCGTATAGTTAAAGAAGCTTTGCCGGCCAGGCTCTGAATGTAAAATTAATTTATAGAGAACACTTCAAAGTCATTGCCTTAGGTCTAAAGAGTTGATGCTTGTTTAAGAAATCTTGGACGTAAGACAAATATCAACATTTGAATCTATTCAAAGTAATTATGACGGTCGAACCATGAACACTGCTGGCACCCTAACAAGTGAGCCCTCGGAATTCCTCCAAGATGATGCTCTTTGTTTTATAATGATTAAATTGGCTACTTTTGATAAACAATTCATTGAAAACAATTATTATAAAATTAACTGATTCGATTTATGACAAAAAAATTAATTAATTTAATTTTTTATTAATTACTTGAATATAAAAATTTGTGAACAGTAATTAAAAATTCAGTCAATACCCAAAGATACTCCTTAACTATTTTGCTAATTGAAGATTATTAAATATATACCTATTAATTAAAGATCGATTAACATTGTTCATTTAATTCCTTTCGAAAAGCATGATGATAGTAATTTCGAATTGTATTGTATTTTTTTTTATACTTAACATCAAGCAGCTATATAGCCTAACAATCCTTAAATAGTAATCTAAGCGGTATCCACAATCGTTAGCGAGAATGTTCTCAAAAATCATATGAAGGTTCATTATATTATTTTTTTAGTGAAGATTTTGGATTCCTATTAAATTAGAATATAAAGAGTCTAAACTTAATAGGATTAATTATTATTTGTTTAATTTTTTAGAAAATGTTGTAGCAAAATAAAGTTCAAATATAAAAAATATTACTTTTTTCAATCAAATGCAGAGCTGAAAAATTTAAAAAAAGATGAAATTTTGAAGAAGAAAGGAGTAAAAATGACGTGCATTTGTAATGAAAATAGTCAGAAAGTGAGTTTTTTTGAATTAATAATAATATAGTTTGAAATTCCATAATATAAATTTAAAATGGAGAATATGTATGATTAAGATGAATAAATAAAATTGGAATAACTAATATGATTTTTGAAAAATGCATACTTTAACATGAATTAAAGTATGAAATATGATTCTTCGACATTAATAATAAATAAATAACATAAAATTTAATGCAAAGAATGCAATAACAATTATATATTAAAATAGAATTATTCATTTTTTCAATTTCTGTTAACAAAATTCTAAGTTGACAAAAAAACAAGTACCCTTTTAATTTTTGGTCCATTAATTATTTGATTAAACCTTTAAACTTCTTTCATAATATATCAGAGCTTCTTAGTATTTCTACTAATCTTGTAAGCAGATTCCTGAATATAAATTAACACATACCAAGGCTATCAAGACTATATGTGTGGTTAGGATTGAGCGTAATAGCTTAATGTATAACTATTTCGGATTTGTCATATTACTTCAATAATCTTAAACATTCGCCTATTAATATCTTGATGAAATCTACCTTTATTACTTAAGCAAACAACATGTTTGGGATCAATCGCTAAACCTTTGTCCAACCAAGTGATTGCATCTTCGTATTTATTTAACATCCTTAAACATACACCTTTAAATATAAGTATGATGAAATCTACCTTTTTCACTTAAGGAAATAATATGTTTTGGATCAATAGCTAATGCTTTGTCAAACCAAGTGATTGCATCATCGTATTTATTTAACATCCTTAAACATACACCTATTATTATAAGGATGATGAAGTTAACCTTTATTACATAAGGAACCAACATGTTTTGGATCAATAGCTAGTGCTTTGTCCAACCAAGTGATTGCATCCTCGTATTTACCTAACATCAGTAAACAGTAACCTATTAATATACGGATGATGAAGTCAACCTTTATTGCATAAGGAACCAACATGTTTTGGATCAATAGCTAATGCTTTGTCCAACCAAGTGATTGCATCAACATATTTACCTATCATCAGTAAACATTAGCCTATTAATATGATGATGAAATCTACCTTTATTACTTAAGGAAACAATATGTTTTGGATCAATAGCTAGTGCTTTATCCAACCAAGTGATTGCATCCTCGTGTTTATTTAACATCCTTAAACATTAACCTATTTATATAAGGATGATGAAATCTACCTTTATTACATAACGAAACAACATGTTTTAGATCAATAGCTATTGCTTTGTCCAACCAAGTGATTGCATCCTCATATTTACCTAATCCCCTTAAACATTAGCCTATTAATATGATGATGAAATCTACCTTTATTACTTAAGGAAACAACATGTTTTGGATCAATAGCTAACCCTTTATCCAACCAAGTGATTGCATCCTCATATTTACCTTGTATCATTAAACAATCACCTATTATAATTATATTATCATTCAAACCTTTATAATATAAAGATTCCTTGTTATTAGGATTTATTAAAATTGAACTATTTAAATATTTTAAGGCCTCATTATAATTAAAATCCAAATATAATTTCTTACCTAAAAAAATAATATTTAGTCTACCTTAATTGCATAGATCTTCAGCTTGTTCAAAATGATTGTCTTCAATTTAATAATAATTAAATGATGATAATTACAATTATTCATATAAATTATCAAATGAATGATTTAATTTCTTTATCTATTCCTAAATGATTTTTAAAATTGATTATTTATATTCATTTAATGTAACAGTTGAATTCAAATAATCATTAATTTAGTAAGAATTCATATTCACTAGCCTTTCTTTTACTAATGAATATTTATTTCTGATTCCTTTAGTTAATTAAGAGAAAGATTGATTCAGACTTTCTACACATTTGTTTAGATCATCAATCAAATTGTCACACTCTTTATTGTTACTTTCAATAAATGGAATCAAACTGTTAACTTTTTTAACATCTTCAGAATGAGTATGATGAATTCCCTTTTTAAAACAATCAAAACAATTTAATCTAAATCCTGTACAAAATTCATAATAACAAATAAAATCAATCTCTTCCTTATGGTTATCTTCTTAACATTTTAGCTTCAAACTTGCTTATTAAATCATTTTTTATATTTTATATTAAATTTATAATCATTCACAAACACGTATTTCATTTATCTGAATTCTATTAAACCTACTTTGTCTACAATTTTAAAGGAATTCAACAAATGCATACATTTATTCTGATTATGTATTTCAAATAATATACTTGATTCACCTTCACTTGGTTAACAAACTACTTCTATGAATTTTAAATTCAATTAAACCTCATAAAATATTTCAGTTATAAACTTGCAAGAAATATTTTATGACTCGAATCGTAATATGAGATTTATATTTTCAAGTTATTAATTTTTAAAATTTTTGTTTTAATGATATACGTGCTATTTGATTTAGAATATTCTGAATATAATTTCGATTAATTATCAAATTCAAGATTCTTGATGATAAAGATTCCCCAATCAATTGTCAAGGGAATGTAGCCAAGATTTTTAAACAAAGGCGTATCTTAATTTTTTAAATTTCATTTTCATTAAATAAATCAAATTCAGTCTTATATTCTTCTGATTAAATGCGTTTGTAATACAACAATATTAATAGGATATGGGTTTTTGCAAGTTATGCAGCGAGTTTTAGGGGAATTTTTGAGAAAATAATTTACCTTTGAATTAAGAAATCACGAGGATTTAAAAATGGAAACAGTAGCAAGGTTAATTATCTGAGATATCACTATTTTGTATTCACAAATAACTGTTCTTCCTAATTAATTTCGGTTACAATCATATAATCTTGTATTTCAATAATCCTTCTCAGTGATTAATGAGAGTTCTGGTGTGTGTGTTTATTATAAAGAAGTATAAATAAACCAACCCTAAATTCATCATTAAATAAAATTATACTTTTGATCAACTAAGATACCATTTTCTACATTACATGTTATAAAGGAAAAAAGGGTCAACTATAAATATAAGATCAATATTAGCCAATAGAATTGTTTAGGTTTAAGATTTATTTTAACTACCTAAATATGCTAAATATCACAAAAAAAACTATTAAAACTTCAGATTAATTTATTACTAAGGAATAATTTAATGATACTACTGTAATATTATAAATGTATCATGAATTTGGAAATGATAAATTGATTTTATTTCATGTTAGAATGCATATTCCTCAATGCTAAAGTAGATAATCTAATAATGATAATTAAAAGGTTCTTCTCCTTTATAACCCTTCCTTTAATTTATCATAAAACAAAATTTGTATTAAGCAAAAATTTCAAAGAGCAGGACTAGACTAATAATTAACAAAAATTTTGATTATAAAGTTTGTGAATATTTTAAAAATTTTAGGATCTTTAATTTCCTCCATATATTCATTTTCTATTTCATTTATTCATTTAGCTTCATACTTGAATGTTAATTTAAATCCCTATTTACAGATTTTTTTTTTTACTAATGGATTTATTCATACACTTAAGTCATTTTGACAGTAATAGAACTACAAAATGATAATAGGTAGAGTACTACCTAAGGCTTTTCATATATTATAGAATAAACTAGTTTCAAAATAAATCTTGAAGACCATACATTATTAACATCTGCTTATGATGAGTTAGAAATTGTTAAGCACAAGTAATATATCCCCAACTCATTTCTATATCCAATTTTATTATTGCGATCTCATCCTTTTAATCCTAATTGATTCTTTCATCCAAGTTTTTGAGAAGTTCCTTTAAGAAGTTTCATAGATTCCTATCAACTTGCTATAAACCACAAAAATATCCATATCTGCATTAAACAATTCATGATATTTTTGCAATATATCATCATAATTATTAGAACAAGTTATAAATTTTATAAACCTTCTTATAATTAATAAATTCTACAAATTGTATTATAAGTCAAAATACCAAAGTTGATTGACTATACATAATTATATCCTCATCTTATTTAGAGAGAGATATGAAACTAATTAGGTTCATATAATAACTGTTTTTAAATAGAAGATAGCTAATCGAAACAATTTATATACTTGATGCTATTTATAATTTCATATTTTTCAAAGTATTTTAAACTTGTGGTAAATCTATAAATCTAAAAATAATCTCTTTTGTTTTCGATTATTCTGAATTCTTTTTTAAATTTTAAAAAAGAAACAAAAACATCAAATCACTATTTCATTTAAAAACTATGTAATTCCTTTTTAATTTATTTTCCAAACTATAATATTAATCTTCACCGTTTTACATTTTAAAAAAAAAATGAGAATTACTCTAATTTGATAAATTTTCCAAAATAATTTTTTTTTCTTTACAAGTCTATTTAAAGTCTATCTATATTATATGCACAAATTTACCTTTAATAAGTTTCTATATAGGATCAAAAAAACACGGTTGAGAGTTATTTCCAATTTTTTTCTAGAAATGAGTCGTCTTTGAAACAACCAATTTGGTGATGAAAAGTACATTAATGCAAAGCTAATGTTATTTACTTAATGATGATTAAAATAAAAATCCCCTTTTACATTAGATGCTGATTTGAAATCAAAACTGATGAAGGATTCATAAGTTCATGCTTGTATAAAAGGAAGAAATTATAATTTAAAAATGCTGATAATGTCACCTCAGATTAATTAATTAAGTTTGATGACCCAAAAATACGATGTGGAATAGGAATTTAAGAGAAATTATGGATATGAAAAGAAATGACAAGAAGAAATGTTCATTTTTTATTCAAAAGAAATCACGAAAGTTAAGGAGGGTGGCGGTATTAATATGGATAATAGAGAATTAATAGTGTATTACAAATTACAAAATTAATGTGCATAAATCTATTGTTTTGTCGTTGATATGGGAATTTAGATGCACACTGTCAAAACTCATATTGTCTTTGAGGAAGAAGTGCAACTAAAAGAATATATTTTTTTTGATTTAATAAATCTATACAAATTTGTTGATTACAGATTCCTCTATCAAATCAGGAAGAAAAAATACATTCTGAGAGATAAATCAGACTATATGTTTGATTTGCATGGTAACCTTCGTAGATATATGATCCAATAACAAAGGAACGAGTTCATCTCAAAAATTTAGATTTAGGGAAAAATTGAAGATTCTTTCTAATAAATTGAAAACTCTTAAGAGATTATTATGTGCAGATAGTGTGCACTCATAGTTAATTATAGAGTAATTGGAATGTACAAATGATTTTTTTTTGGAAACGGCGATTGAATATGATCTGCACTACAATATTAAAATAAGCAAATATATTGCAAATATATACAACATTGAATTTGAATATATTATTATCAATAAGTCAATAAGTTAAGTAACTTGGTATGGTTTGATATTGAATAAAGTTTCAATTTTGTCAATAGAAAAATAAAGAATATACTCTGTTGATATTTTTGATAAAATACTAAATTGTATCTTTCAATGAGAATGAACGAATTCTGAAATTTTAACGTCCCTTTACCTCTTTTTCTATTTAAATTTTTTAATAAACAAAAAATTAAATATAGTATAGTTGCAATTTTCTCATATATTAAATACGAAATTTATTATGTTTTTATTGATTTTGGATTGATTTTATTTGCTATTCTTTATTATCAAGGTAAGCAATAATCATATTGGTTCGTTAAAAAATCGATAACTCATTGAGTGCCTAATCTCTTATTGACACATATATTTCTCGAATAACCTAAAATGTATTAAAGAATTAAATAATAATTTAGACTTTTCTATTTGCAATTCTAAAAAGGTTATTCTAATTCAAAATACAAATTATCCAAATCCTAAAAAAAATTTCTATAAAAATATGAAGAAATTTTTAGTTCAGGAAGGTACTTGAGACCTAATTTAAAGAAATTTGCTCACAATTAGAGATCTAAGTAATGGTGGACCATAAACTCGTTAGTTAATTGGATTTTAGGAATATCTATTGGATTTAATAAAATAATCCGGAGTATGGGATAATTTGGATATCCCATTTTCTTACCTCATTTAGGAGAGAAAATAGATAATCGGAGTAAAAATTATCTCTCGCCTTAAATGCTAAGGGTGTGGAAATAGATTCTTGAAGATTGGAATAGAGATGCTCTCTGATAAGCCCATATTTCATATTTGTGGATCATTGATTGAACAACACAAATTAAAACCTTTGTTCGAATAATTATGTAAAATCCTATAAATAGTTCTTCGGAAAATTTATAAATGGTAAAACTTAAATTAGCTCCATATGGTAACACTTCATATGATCATATATTTTAAAACCAGAAAAAATAGACTAATGTGTTAAAGGAGCCATTAATTTTATGGAAGGGAACTAAAATATACTAATTGAAGACTTAAATAGAAAATCATAATAGAATGTAAGAAGAATATATACCTCTAATTAAACTCACTATTAATCTGTCAACTCTGTTGGTCTTTTATTCTATCTAAGAGATTTGGTAATTAAGTAATTCCACTCCCTCCAAGAATTTCTTTTAGATAAAAGTATCTTAAAAACGGGTTGGGTAAGTTATAAAAAAAAGGTAGAAACAAAATTTAATTAATTAACTTTTAATTAATCAAGTACCTAAATTTAGGAAATAAATATGGATTAAATGGGGTAAAATCTGTCCTAGATAGGTATTACTACACCAATAAAAGAATCTATTTTAAGGAGTGACTCAATAGAAGTGAAAAGGTAATAACAGATACTTACTGAAGATTATATTCGTATAGGGTTTTACCTTAATATAGATAGGTGCAGTGGACTTACTAATGGATTTGTTATGAGACTATATAATTAGTTGATTTTTACAACGTTTTAATAATTAATGTACCATATTAATAAATCAAAGAATATAACAGTGATAAATACATTTTTAACTAATCATCTTTCAATTTCATACTTCATAAGTTATATTTAGAGGGATTGCGAATGTATGTTTCTCTCACAACTTAGTATTTAAGCATCCCTTATGAACAAAAGCTTGTTCTCCAGTTATTCAAATGTTAATAGCGAGTTATATAAGACAGTTCCTGAATTCTTTATGAAGGTAGTATAATTGTGTAA